TTGGGTCCAACTATCCCCGCTTCCACTCCCTGATGCCTCAGGTCCCAGAATGCAGCAGACCTGCTCCTCATCGCCGAGGCCAACAGCCCCCTGCAGTACCCCGCCCAGGGTGTGGAGGTGCGACCCCTCGGAACGGTCATTATCCCAGGTCTGTAATAAACAAATATGATCTCAGGTCAGTCCTGGAGCATACTCGTCAATAATAGGAAATTGTGATAATTGTGGGTGTGTGTTTGTCTGGTATATGAGGTCATATAGAAATATCTTTTGTAATGTGTGTGTTTGTGTGCACAGGACTTGGGATACAGGAACCACCCCGAGACCACTCTGTAAGTGAATCTACCCGTCCTATCATGCTTGCCTCACAGATTGTTCACTGATTTCTTTTAAATTCTTCCACAGACTACCTTGTATGAAACTATGACACTACATTCACACAAAAGTCTCTGTCTTGGGCCTATGGACAGCTCATTTGGTCACATATTTCTTTGAAAAGCAAATTTAAACCCCTGCAAATGGGTGCTTGTGTACTGCCAACTCCATTACCAGCTATGGTCAGAGGCCCATATTGGCTCAACCTTTTTGAGGAAGAGACAGGTTAAGATAGTTAAGCTGGTTACTCATATTTCTCTCTAATGGCTACACCCGTTGGGCCAGGCAACCAAAGATACATGTACTGTCGTCTTCCCATGATATAGGCGATATGTGATTGGTGGTGTATCTCTTAGTGTGTAAAGAAGCAAGTGCTTGTCATCATGTGACTCAGAGGAGTCACATGCTAACAGCTACCTTCTCCTAAATTAGCACAAGAAGGTTGCAGTAGAAGACGAAACTGGCTGAGTTCAGGGTAAGAAAAATTGTGAAAATGTTGGAAAAATGTCCTTAATCAACTCACCCTCTGCAAGGACATATTGGGCCAGTTTTTACTAGTTCCCTGGACATGGCCTTGCCCTTGACTTTTTAAGTGTAAATCTTCATGGAAATTTTCTTTTAGTCTAAATTTAGGCTTAATCCCTGTAATTCCTGTCTGGAAACCCGGCCCATAGTTTGATTATGTTTTGATGAGTAGTTCCTGCAAATGCAGAAAAGTTGAGAAGTATTGAAATTTTCAGCAGTGTTTGATAATGCTATTTCCCCACCACGGGAAATAGCATTATCAAACACCAACAAAGACCTCATCTTTCATTCATTGTAAGCAGTGAGCGAGGCCGGAAGATCATTTATCATTAGTTTAAAGTTCACAAAACTATTCAGCTTCCTGTGCATGTGTATACAGACTGGCAAGATGTCAAGATGAAGAAAAGAATATTTCAAGAAAATCAACTTGGTCTTTTTTTTGCAATGCACAAATACAGAATTTTACCAGTTACAATCCAACCATATTTACCATGGACTCATAATACAGATAGCCGTGGCTAAACTTGTTGAATTCACTGGCTAGTGTAAGTGGTGCCAAACTAGCAGACTGAATCCCTTTTTATTGGTCACTGGCAGGGAGGCTAAAAGTGGTATTTAAAAGGGGGGGCATGAACTAAGAAGTGGTACTAAATTGGAAAAGAAAACTGCAACATTGTCCAATCCATTTATATAGTGATGCAAGACATCATTTAGAGGAGTATTTGTGACATTTGAGAGACTTTTATCCCTGTTTCATGACGCAGGTTACCTTGACAGCCTCGATGGGCACCTTTGACAGGGCGGCTGAAGTGAAGGACGTCCGGGCGGAAGGGGAAGGGACCTCCAGCCTCACCCTGTCCAGCAGCCTCCTGGCCAACCTCAACCGACAGCTGCAGTTCATCGCCTACACCAACACGCTGTTCCACCCCAACACGGCCGACGCAGGTGAGACCGCGCAAAGCGAACCTCCGACGACTTAGTCCTGCCTCGACCCATGCTCGACTGTGAGTCAAGGCAGAGCAATTTAACCGGATGTCCGTTTGCCTTTCTTAACAGAAGCAGGGGCTGTAGCGTTGTGCAATATCCACAAGTGTCACAGGTCACAGTAGGGGGGGGTTTGTTTAATTTATGCATAGTTTGCAGCTAATCTGGTCTGCTTTTCAGTACAATTCAAGACGTTGGGACATCAGTCTGTTTTCATCATCAGGATTCAATACAAGCCTTCTCCAAGACTGTACAACCCAGGCCCCAAAGGAGGTTTGTGTCTTTGGTATCCTCATTTTAATGTATCGTAAAACTGTCATGAGTTCATAATAACAACAAAACTACTCTATGCTTCTCTTCTAGACTACAACATCAGTGCCCTGGTCACTATTGCAACCAAGACATTCATACGCTACGACAAGCTACAGGTCCTGATCGAAAGCATACGTCGCTTCTACCCCACCGTCACCATAGTGATCGCAGATGACAGCGAGCACCCCCAACCAGTGACCGGCCCCTACATCGAGCATTACATCATGCCCTTTGGAAAGGTGAGGGCAACTAACTTTCTGGGGGTTATGGCGCCATCAAGTGGGTGGGGGGACTCATGAATTTTGCTCAATATTTTAACCTGTTGTAATGGAGGAAGAATTGCCACAGCGGTAATATCAAGAGTCTTTCCCATAGTGAGATTTAATGTTGTCCCAGCAAACAGCACGGACCCTGCCCATTCTGAGGCAGCTTTGCATTAAGGAGCTTTGCATCTCTGTCCTCAAGGGCTGGTTCGCGGGGCGGAACCTGGCCGTCTCGCAGGTGACCACCAAGTACGTGCTGTGGGTGGACGATGACTTCATCTTCACGGCCAACACCAAAGTGGAGAAGATGGTGGACATGCTGGAGAGGACCACTCTGGACCTGGTGAGTCCAAGCTGGGCGGATGGGTGGGGGGAAACAGGATATCGGGCCAGGCAATAGAAGCCCCCTTGTTATACACTGCACCATCAAAAGCAATGAAAAATGCAGCAAGTCTGTAGCTTGTAGGACGAGGAGATTCGTTCATGAAGTGGAAGGCAGGAAACCACTGGTGTACTGGCATTTCTGTTGTGAAACAGGGAGGTATAAGTAACAGGCCCAGCAGTCATCTAGCAGTATCAAGGTCTCAGCAAAATATGTCAGCCACACCCTCGGGTAGAAGTGACAAGTTTCTCTTTGTAGTTTCTTTGCAGTTGTCTCTTTTTTTAGTAATCTCTCACTTGTTTTGCTGTAAGAATAGATTCACCTAAAGCCTGCTTTAGGTCCTCCTGCCACAACATCTAAATGGAGATTAGGTCCCAGCTTTAACTTTGACAATCAAACATAAACATCATTCTTCTTAAAGTATTTTACTATATATGTATCTGTATGTTTGACTCATTTTTGGCTGAGCTTCAGCTTGTAGAAGGGTGACCTGCCACCATGCTCAAGAAGATTATATTACAACTGCCAAATTCGTTGTCTTCTCTGTAAAGGTCCAAAGCAGCTCCAAAACATGACACTCTCATCACCATGTGTGATAACTGTTATCCCACCATGTTGTATTCTGTTGTTGGAGGACAATACATAGTGCTCACCAAAAAGCACACCTCTCATTGTGGTCAAAAATGATACAATTCTGCCTGTACAGAAAACTTGATTCTACTAGTCTTGACAAGGGGCTTCACAAGTTCACTGAAGAATGTTCTCTGGACAGGCAAGCCAAAACAATCTTTTGGTCATAATGACAAAAATATTTTCCGGTAAAATCTAAAGTCTTCCGGTGGTAAAGCCCAGTCCTGTCAATCAAACTTAGAAGTGGGACTATTGTGGTTTGGAGCTGCTTTGTTATCTCTGGACCCAGATGGTGCACCCTGACCAAGGGATTAATGAATTATGCATTTTATGGTGTCAAGTCACCCCTCGGTGAGTAGAAGCTGTGTAAAAGTTGGGCAATGCAGAAGGACCACGATTCTAAATATTCAAGAAAATGGTAAAATGCTTTGTCCCCGCCATTCCCCTGGAAGTTGAAAACTTCATTGGCCTAGGTCTTCCCCACCGCTGTCATCCTGAGACAGCAGCGCTAAGCTGTTAAAGACTGTAGTCAACCAACCACAAGGCATGTCGCAAACAAGCTCACGTCAATGAACATTGTAGCCACAATCTGAAACGTTTACTTTCTTTCCTCCTATTTATTTATTATTTTAAATTGACTGTATTTATTTCCAATGTAATGCATTTATTAATTTAAATTTAGTCTATTTGTTCCAGTTTTATTCATTTATGTATTTAGTCAGTTAGTTGTTTTTTTATTTATGTTGCTGTGGGTAGTTTTCCCAGTTAATCCGTGAGGATGATGTACACTTCATTTTCACTACATGTTGACCTTGCCTGAAAGAGTTGGACGTCAGTGTGCGAATGCGTCCACTGACGGTGGTTTTTCTCATTAAAACAGGGCGAAGTTTGCTTACTCGCCTCATACCCTTGTGTCAACAGCTAAGCCGTGTAGATATTCTGAATTTAATACCAGTCATTTTATTACAAGGTTTAAACGCTTGCTGACATGTAAGCAACCTTACATTTAATTTGACAGGAGACTCTGTTTTCTCAGGTGCACCCTACTAATCAAGAAGCACAGAAATGATATGACCAAATTAAATGAAAGGCAGCGAGAAAACTCTCAAGCCTCCCTGTTGATGAAAGAAAAGCAGAACCAGACGATGGCAGAAAACAAGAAACACAAAAACTATGGAACAGTAGGATAGCAGTTGCAGAATTTGGACAGTGATATAGTTATATGCTTGAACAGATACTTACTGAATATGCAGTAAGGCGTGTCGTGACACTCTGATTGGTTGAAACTTCTCAGCTGATGTTGACCCTGATTTTAGTTCCCCACCTGAATTGCATTTCATTACCTGGGAGCAATGTGGGGTTAAGCAATGGTGTTCTTGCTGTAGCTAGACTGGGGCCACCCCGATTTTAGTTTCCCACCTGAACTACATTACAGTCCTATAGCAGAAGCTTTTATCCAAAGCAACTTACAATTGATTAAGCTAACCAATCCCCCCTGGGAGCAATGTGGGGTTACGCAATGGTGTTCTTGCTGTTGCTAGACTGAGTTTTGAACCACCAACCTCAGGAGTCACAGTTATGTACCTTAGCCACGAGGCTACAGGAACAAGTTTTAAATATTTCATTGCTTGGTAGACACTTGTGTCTAGTTTGACTTAACACAAAACAAAAAAGGTTGGTAAAGACATAAAATTATGCTCTTGGTAAGTGTGTGACAGAACAAGACTGTTTTTTGTGTTGGTGGGTGTGATGAATAATCCTGTGGGTTGTCCCTTTATAAGACAGTTCAACTGGTTGCTAACAACCATTTGCCTCCATGTTAGAAAGACAGGAAACATAGACTGGTTTTTGGTTCATTTTCACATACAAGACCTGATAATCTGGTTCACATACCTGGTTTTCTATTTGAAACGTGTACCGGGAAGTGTTGTGATATTAGGAAGTCAAACTTAGCGGGAACAAGCTTTGCAGATGGCTAAATCATGTTTCCTTTTTGGATCTTTCAAATTGCCAATGGAAATTTCAATACAAATTTTCAATTGCAGTAAACTAATTGGGCCTACAGTCAACCACATGGTCAGTTACATGAATGCAATTTTAAATTCATGATTTATAATGAGAGTAAGGGTCCATATTTATCAGTTGTTATTTATCAATGTGCTTGTGACAGTGATAGCAGCTGTGAAAACGATTCAAACTTCAGGACACTTCATGCAGAACTCTCACATGAGATTCTGCCTATTGTGCCATCTGGAAGGATTTTACAAGATGAAATCTGCTAGTACAAAGTACAAAGTGCAAGATACAGAAAAAACTGCTACAAACTACAAAGTAGGGCTGCACGATATATTGTTTCAGCATCTTCATGGCGATTAGCACATAAGCAATAGTCACTGCAGGTAAATTAACTCAAACATGTCATGCTACAACTTCTTTGCCGCTTGATACAAAAGGAAAACTTGCATGGTTGCATCATTTTTCATGACTAATCTACAAGAAAGTCTATCTGGTATAACATAATTTACTCCTTTTGAAAGGTTCTTGGATACACAGTTTGTTGCAAGTTAGTGACATGCAGGCTCTGCATGCACAGCAAACCACCGATCACTATCCTTCTTGATCAGACGACCAAAGCAGGCCCCTGCCCCCGCTAGCCGTTGACCACAAGCTGAAAATGAGCGAGGAACAGGAGAAAAACACCATAAAGGAAGATTTGGTTGCCAAAAGAAAATCGTAACAACTAATTTGTTTGATCATTTAAATCGGCACCAAAAAGCTCTGTATGACGAGTGCAAAGCCAGATCTGAATGCCATCCAAAGCAAGAAACTATTTTGGATGCCTTTGCTGACTTCAGAGTAAAAAGTCTTTTTTTTTTTTAGATTTTTTCTATTATTATTCTTATTTTCTATACTGATGCAGTCCCCTACAAAATCACCCAAATGATTCTAGAATGATTAATTCTTTCCAAAAACATCTATTTAAGTCATTTGGTGAAAATTCCTGTATTTCTTCATATCGCAATATATATCGCAGAAAAAAAATACTACGACGTCAGTTTTTTTTTCCAATATCGTGCAGGCCTACAGCAAAGGGCATTTCACATATCCTGATCATTTGTTACTGTCCTTTCAGTAACCTAATTAGGGAAGGAGAACGACTGTTTCTCCAGCATTGACTTGTATCTGGTAGCCTGCAATTCTTCAGCCTGCCTCGTTTTTGCTTCCAGCTAAGTGCTCCATTGTTTGAGGAGCCCAGTTTAAAAAAAGAATTTGATCACCATGGTTTCAGTACAGCACATTTTGAGTGCAGCTCCTCTTATCTTTGGATTTTTTGGGGCGGACTGGCGGTTTGATGGTTAATCGAAGCTACGGATTGTCTCATTCTCCAGTTTGGGATATCTTTCGCTTTAACATACCTTTTGAATTCGGTGTAGATATCGTGGCCAGTTGTCCTGGATTCGAGTGGCAGGAGGGTTAGAAAGTCTTCCTTCGTTGTTGAATCTTTGAATGCCATGCGAACAAAAACAATTAATTGCGCAGTGTCAGTTATGTTCGATGATTCGTCAAACTGCAAGGAGAACCTCTAGAGAAATTCACACTCCGCAAGATCTTGGTGAATTTGCTGGACCACGTTCTCAGAAACGGATTCTACCCTTCTTGTCACCGCCGTATCGCCAAGTGGCATGTTCTTGATGGCTGTTGTGATTTAGTCTTTGCTTTTTAAAGTGTCGGCAGCTACCACCATCACTTCCTTGAGAAATTCAACAGCCGTGAAAGGCATCTTATGTTTTACCATTAGATAGCTCATCCAAATCTCTGTGCTCGCTTTCCCAATTGCTACAGTCTTAGAAAAAGTGACTGTTGGGCTCTCAAAACTGCCTTTGATTCCTCCAATTCCTTCGTTCGAACTATTGCTATTTAATCTGAAACCATCTTCAAATTTGCTGTGCATTATCTTATGGTAGTTCCAAATTCCCCTGTTTACTCAAAGCTCCCAAATAAGGCAAATGCTCTTGTCTTTGAAATTCATAAAAAGAAATTCTGTTTCCCATTCCTGATGAAAATAGTTTTTTCTCTTTTTCGATGGTCCTTCTCCACTCGTCATTTTTTCATTGACGTATTCATCAAGGTGAACTGAATGAAAAGCAACTCCAATTGGGAAAGCGCTCCTCGACTATAGACAGTTGCTATTGTTGCAATTCAGAGAGATAGACAATGTAACTGGTTGGTGTGTTAAAATAAAAATAATTCCTGATTGGCCCATTGACTTTTTGTGCACACAGGTAGATTTTCAAATTCTACAGCAGTTTGCTTTGGCTCTAGGCAGCGACCCTTACATATATACAACCACACGCATACATACATATACAACCTGGATTTTCTTTTCTCTGTTCATGTCAAGATCTACTTTGTGAGCCTCTGAGATCGACCTGTCGATCACGATCGACGGGTTGGCAATCACTGGTGTAGGCTGTTATAACATCGTCTTATGGAGTGCCGAACCTCCTGAGCCTTCTGAAGATGAGCTAGCTCTTGTTGGCTGTTTCAGTCAGTATAATCGAATGAATAGTCAGCCTGTTTTGTAGCTAACACTGTCCAGCCCAACACCGATTCGGTTTTGTCAGTGATAAATATCCAAACTTATGGCCTTATTGATCAAAGCCTTTAGCACGGGTTAAAATCTTTCAGCATGCGTTAAAAGCCTTTAGCGTGTTCTTTGCGATTTGTGATTGAAGTGGCCAATTTTTTGTTGGTGGAATTTTATCTTTGGTCCAAAACAACAGGGTATTCTTCCAGGCTGTGAAACATTATAATATTATAGATCCTATAATCCTACCGACATTTAGGCTGAGTGTACATTATACTTGCTACCCACAGTTAGCAAGTATAATGTACAAACCGCAGTGAGAGAGCTCTTTGCAGTCGAGAGGTTTAATCAGGAAAGACAATTGTAACAAATGTTTCAACAGTAAAAATCAAGTTAGCCAGCTAACTTATACCTCACAAATGGTGTCTTGAATTCGCTAACCATCTCTTGATTGATGAAAAGCATGGGAAAAATTTCCTTTCATGTCCCCTACTTGTGGAAAATACTTTAGCCAAATGTTTTAATTGAGTACTTTAACCAAACATTATCATATTTTACATGCCATTGCACAGCTTATGATAATTTATGGAAAATATAAAACATATTTTGAAAGATATTTTAGTCACATATGTATGTATTGTATTTGCATTCATGTTAGACAGTGGAAAATGCAGAATTACGATAAGGTAATTCGCAACTGGATGCCATATTGAGGCCTTCCATAGAAATAAAATGGAAAATAGCTGTTTTTGAACAGTTAATTTATAAACGATTGAAAGCTCAGAGCAAAGTGGGTTTCAGAACCATTTAGAAATGCTTGTTTCAGGATTTAATGGAGTTTGGAGAGAAATAAATACACTCACATCTCTTTAAGTCTAAAACTGAAACTCAGTTATCTCATGCCTCCAGGACAAATGGGAAAGATGATGATGATAACAGTTTTTGAAAGAGAGGAACAAAAAAAATCAAAGAAACAAAAACATCAGAAAAAAATAAACAAAAGGAAACGAAAATAAACATGTTGTTACATCTGTTTCCCAGTTATATACACTTGCTACCTCATGCTCACCACAAATAGCGAACCACCCCTGCATGAAGGTGGCCCATATAACCTTTTCCATACTGACATATTATATTTTACAATAATAATTTTTATAAACGATGCTACGATTTCATCTGATGAACAATTATTAGAATACATTTATATTTACAAATTTTAAATCGTTCAATAAATTCAGCACAATAACTCATCTACTTAATTCAGAATTGCATAAAAATGTAGTGTATATTATAATTGAATATAGTTTACATTATAATTGAGTCTTTATTTTATTCAAATAATCTTTTAATTGATTGTTATTTGTTACAATAAGTTTAAGCAAAGTAAAATTTACCCTGTTTCTTTGCAGTGTCCTTCTGATTCTTTTTTTTTTTCAAAGAGAACAGTAATTGCATATTTTAAGTTTTCTAAGTTGTTTATAGCAGCGGGCAGGGGAGAGGTAAGGGTCAACAAGATACTGAACTCGAGGATGTCCTGCTCTGTCATAAAAAGGGAAGCAGTAACATAAAACGGTCTAACTAGGATGTTAAAAATTAACTAATTTCGGGGGGGGGGCTTTTTTGAAGTTTTCTGGAGAAACGCTGAACAGTGTGTTTTGTCATTAAAATGGATGATAAGAGGGAATTTTTTGAGTCATGTGAAGCAGTCTTGGCTGAAGGTTTAAGAGAGAACATATAAACACACTGTCAGCCCTTTGCCTTGTAATCTATAAATAGGACTGGTGACAGCAAAATAGCGGACTCTAACAAAAAAAAACAAATAAATTAGTTCCTTCCTGAAAACATTCAAGTCTATCTCCTTTTTTTGACATTTCAGAAGATTTTCTCTCCACTGCTCTTCTGTCAGCTAATTGTATATTGCCTTCTCCTCTAATTAAATGGTTAAATTGTTCTGACAAACTTGTTCTGTCAGTGATTAGAATTTTGTTCTGTTACAATAGGGAGCAATGTGATGTTGCA